TAGAGATATGGGTTTTTCCTTTGTGTGTAGAAGGACAAAATAAAAACTAATCTTGTTCAACAAGATTCATTTGATCGCTAACACTAGAATAACATTGAGGTTTCTTCAGCCTTCGCTGAATCTTGAGTAGATTTCACACTTGTGTAGACAGACTTGTTATCACTGAAAACCGTATCAGATCACGAACTTGCTTGTCTCTGTCTTCAGCTTTATCTTCGATATCACTGAAGGTTTTGTGGTGTGAATTTTGTCTTCCTAAAGAATACTTGTCTCTCTCAGAATTACAATACTTGTTCAGGGATCACTGAACAGACTTAGGAGCTGTTTACCAAATTTTTTATTAAGTCCTGTATGGATAAATTGTCTGTCTGGATAAATAGGTGTTGTTGTTTACCTTTTTTATCTGAACCAACAGTTTAAATAACATAAATGACCAATTTACCCCCCAATATTAATTATTTGAACATCAAAACAAAAAATCATAAAGAGGCCAAAGATGGGGTGTCTCATATGGGAAGGAGACGGTGCTTTAAATAAGGGGTAGGGGTGTCATTTTTGTGGCTAAATGGGGACAACACAACATTTCTATCCATGCGATTAAGCCACGTTCTGTGTGAATAAGCCGTAAGTAAACAACCCAAATGAGTTGTGTGAATAAGCCAGATGGACCAATAAGCCTAATTAAGCTGCAAGTAAACAACCCCTTAGTGATGATCGTTGAAGTTGAATAAAGAGATAGTACACTTCGTAAGATAAAAATGATCATCATCAAATCACTGAGAGAGGGGATCAACAAAATGATATCAAATTAATATTTTGGAATTGGGCTTATACTTTCCCTATAAAAGGAAAAATGGGATTTGATAATGGAATTTCAATACCTACTTAGATAATGAGGGACAAAAGTACTAGCCATTATAGAAAAATATCAAACAATGTCTTGGTATATATTTGATGATATTAACTAACTATTTGTTCCATATAGAGGTTGTTGCTAAATTAGATAAGAAATTACCATAGGGAACATGTCAATTGCGTGGAAGTAAATTAAACAAACCCTTGTAGCTTCTCCTCTATATGATTTATAGAGTGTAGATGGTTAAGGAATATCATTGCATATATTAGAGGAGCAAGTGATTTGATTTCAACCACTCTCCTACATGAATTTATGAAAATAATGCATCATCTATACTATCTTATTAAGCAAATTTACCAAAAGTCTTAAAATATTAAATGACCAAGATACTCTTTATACTATTCTTTTTCACTTTTTCATCTTGTCCTTTCTCACATACACTCACCCTCTCACATATACTGACACTCTCACAACCGATTTTTTTAAAATTATAAATTTAAATTTATACTTTATACCCCTATAATTAGTTAATTAATTTACTTTACGTCCTTTACTTTTAAATGTTTCATTTTAAACATTTTCAAATTAACATACATAATCGTATATCAATTAAAACATATTTAAAAAATATATTTTTATTTTAACAAGTTACACTATTATAATCGTTTCGTTAATACCTTCGAAACGAGTCCAATATTGAATTGTTTTTGACTTAATTATATTATTATATATTATATATACTATGAAAAAATATTTTTAATATTTATGATTTATATTTTTATAGTTATTATTTATATATATACTATATATTTTGGGGTCAGGCTGTCCAAATTGCATTGTATAATATGTTCTGAATTAATATGTTTTTGGGTTTTTTTAAAATATAAATATACATGTATTAATTCAACTTTAATCTGAGTTACTGGACAAGAAAGAGGGTAAGCAGTTGAAATTTCATTCTAAAACCCATCTTTTTTTGTCTTTTCATGGCTTATGATCTGTCAAATTTGTAGTTTTCTTTATTGGTTTTGAATGTTTATCTTAAAACTCAAGTTTCTTGGTTCTTTTCTCTTGGTGTAAATCAAACACATTTGTGGAGTCGTTTAAATATGTTGGATTTTAAACTGTCATACAATTTTTTTCATCGATAGTCTGTAATTGGAACCATAACTCTTATTTATTCAAATTGTATTAGTATGTAAAGACCAAGTATAACATATATCATCGTTAAATCTTATCTTATAAAACCAGTGGAACTTCAAAATCGTTAAAATTCGTGGCTCCCGCCGCATTGCGCGGGTACACAACTAGTGTATCAAAGAAATGAAAGTAAGATACATCAAGGACGACAACATACAACATATTCTTCTTAAGTTTCTATAAAATCAACAATAACAAACTCTTCTTTAGATTCAACTTAATCAAGTAAGATACCAGAAGAATGTGACATGTTTGCTTACCAAATCGTTACCTAAAAATCATATCTGGGAAACATGTAGAAAGTATAGGAAAAATATAGACTCGAAACTCCTTGAATAATGCATGAATCAAAGGGTAATAGACAAAAAAGGGAGTCTACTATATATGTAATATTGATATGTTGTGCTCTTTCTTGCACCTAAGGTTTTATTTTTCCCATTAGGTTTTCTTTCTTGGTGTGAGGTTTTAGTGAGGCAACGGTTTATATATCATCCTACTTTCCCAACTTTCATGATTAATGTACAAACCTGAAAAAATACTAGACTAAAAGAAATGCCTACGTATTGCAAAGAAACTGGTGGGTTTTACTCTTTCCTTCGTCCTATTTTTAACTTTTTCTCACTGGATCTTTATTTTGGCATAAGATTTTAACAAAGTAAGAGTCGTGTACCATCACTCATTTGACTCAGTACAAGGGGGGATTGTTGTAGGATAAGTGTCATATGTCTAAATGTTATGACGATATCGGTAGAGACAGATATATCAGAGTTAGATTAGAACTAAAATATTTTGTAATTATCTACTTGTAAATCATTTTTATTTAAAGGACTTATGATTAATGAGAATACACATTTTCTCAATTTCTCTATTTCCCGTTGTTCTATTTCATTTTTCCTTTAACAAGTATTTTACAGACACATGCAATCCTTCAACAATTTGGTACTATAACATATATATTGCAAGAGAACATATTTGATCACTTGGAGGTCAAATGATTAAAAAAGATACATCTAGTAAAACATATATCAAACTTTTCTTTTGAAAATATCTTGCTCATAGTAATCTGCTAGAAAAAGTTTATCACAGACGAATCTCATAACCAAAGAAAGTGTGGCCGGTAATTGTGATTGTGATTATCGCGGATTATTTTCAATCACATATGGAAAAAATCCGTCAGTAATGATCAATCCGTCAATGATCCACCACAAATTCGTTGAAATCCGTAGATGAACCCTTTATATTTTATCGTGTTAGTAGTGGAAGTCTCTTCACCTAGAAGGTACATCGTTTGGGAAATGGTCATGTCCATATTTGGACGTAATTGTATGTAAATCTTGTGTCAATCATCATGAACATAATTGACATTTTGCACCAAAATAATAATCTTGATAACTTGTCAAACTTTTAAATCCATATACAATTGTTCCTCAACTACTTGGATTAATTTTAATTCTATACGACACCACAAAAACACTAACGTATCCGATATCCCATTTAAAAACCTAAATTTTAGTACCCTCGTTATGAAAATTATCTTAATTCTTACGGGGTGTTTGGGATTGCTTATAAAAACAATTTATTGACTTATTCCGGTGTGAAACCGGTAATAAACACTTTTGAGTGTTTGGATAAACAACTTATACCGGTGCCAAACCGGTAATAAGGAGTTTTTAAAGAAGTTAAACTCTTCTGACTTATAATAAGTTGATAAGTGTTTTTGTAGAAAAGCATAAGTTGTTTCAGATAAGCAATACACAACGTATTTTTAAAACTTTTATTTATATGATATTTCTAACACTTTGATAAAATCATGTTACACAAAATAATAATCAGACCCAAGTATCTTGTATATTTAATGCATTCTTATATCTAAACTCGATATCTAGATATTTAAAATACTACAAAAATGAAAGTTCTGAAAGAACGTTGCTCAGATCCAATTAGTACATCTCCATGTATTCATACAATTTGGCGCCCTTCCAAGAAAGTAATCTTAATTGCGATATAATCTTATTATTCAATAGTGTACGGTTTTTTCAATCTTGCCGGATTTCGGAAGAGAACTCGAAACCTTTATGATCGTAAGTGTAGTCAGTGAGCACAAAATCGTCATCTCTCGGATATGGTTCTTGAGCAACAAAATTTGCATAGAATATAATACGTCTTCTATACGCGTAAATTCAAAATCTATAAACCGAAACGATAAAAAAAATTAACCAGTTTGGCCTCAAAGTAAGGACCTATTCAAGAAAATTTGAAGTCTTAATGCAACTTCTTTACACTTGCTTTCTACATGATGATCCTTTGAGTTCCTTGTATTTCGTTATGCTATTATTTCACCACGTATCGGTCGAAAGAAAATGGGGCGATTTTGATCTTGCTTGACACCCTTCTATAGCATACGAAGGTGCCACTCCCTACCCAGGGCCAGAAAGCAAGAAAAGCTTGGCACCCAACTACCTTCTAATGGCTAGCCCATGGTTTGACTAATATCAAGAGGGTGGCTTTGAGGAATGAACCTCCAGATGTCAATCTGCTGAGTTTAAGACTTTGAAAGTTGCAGCCAAACCCTTTCTTGATTTTCACTTAGCAGATGAACCATTTAAGGTAACTTAAAACCTGTTAAAAACCCACGTACGATTTCTAGAATATTTCATTCATGATCATGGCATTACTAAAAGAAAGTAGAAAATGCCATGGTTTTCAAGACACCAAAATGGGAAACTATGGCAGTACTTAGCAAAAAGTAAACCCTATAAAACCACAGTAAGTTTTATTTTGGAAGAAACAGTTACGAAAATGGTTGATTAATCGATAAAAATGGTTGAAATCAAAAGGGAACAGTTTAATCCATATGATCGAGAGTAGAAGTATGTAAATTATAATTCTTTTTATTGACTGAACAAATTAAGAGGCATTCCTGAATGGAATAAGAACATAATGAGTGAATTCAGATATTTCAGTCTTCCCATCAATGCTTGAGCCATAAGAATACAACCAAATAATATACAGATTCAGGAGCTGAGCTTAATTCTTTCCTTCTTGCATTACAACCTCGATCAAGATTACATTAACATCACAGTACCAGACTTTAATTATTCAAATTTAATTATAGTGATAATGAGATTATTCCTTCTTAATTGTACCTCTAATATGGAGGCCGGCCATGAGCCCAGCCAAATGCTTCATGGTTCAACTGTCCACCACCATTGGGGATCATATTGGGCTGCAAGTTATACGCTGGCATCGGATCACCAGCCATCCCTCCTCCTCCTCCACCGCTTCCCATCCCAAGTGGCGGTGATGATCCACCACCACTGCCCATCCCTGCCTGAACCACACTATCTGCTTCCTCTTCTTCCTCAACTGGGAGTCTTTCGTAAGTAGCGTTGGAAAATGTGGCAGCAATTACCATCACGGGTCCTGATGCCACCAACGTCCCCACCACACTCCCACCAACGACCTGACCTTGACCTCCGGCTAGGTATATGGTCAGGCCAGTTGAGCCAGGCGGGGCAGGACCAGGTAAAAAGGCTCCAGTTAGTGATAGAATCTCGAATCGGCCTTGTAAGGCCATTACTGAACCTGGTGCAGTTGGTTGTCTTAGGGTTACATTCATGACCGTCCCGCTAGCACTCATAACACAAACCCCTCTCTGCCGTCTCCTACTAAACTGTGCTATGCTTTCAGCTATATCGGTTCCACTCTCCACCTCCATGACGTGGCTGCGAAGCGCGTTGGGGCTGTCCCTGGTCACAAAAATCGGTGGCTTTGGCTTGTTTTTTGAGCCTGGTGGACGACCTCTAGGCCGCCTATTCGATGTCTCGATCGCTCCTTCTCTTGGATCATCGCTGTTGTTGTCTCTCTCATCTTCTTCACTTCCTGTGTTGTTCTCGTTCATCGATATCCCCAGATCTGGCTTCTTTAGCGCCAAGGAACCACCCGATGACGGTTCCACTCCTGCAAGGTTGGCTTGCCCAGTCCACCAGTGGTTTGACATGCTCTTTATCAAAGCATACAATAAAAGAGATTCTTCCAAACTCTCTTGTGAACTTGATGATTAATTGGTCGAAATCGGAAAAATACAGAGAAACGGTATATATGGTGGTGATGGTGTTTAAGAAAACAGATGCTACCTGAGCTTGAAGACACCCCTTCGGTACCTTTAGGAGCTTTGTATGTTTTTTGTTGGTTTGGCCATAGGTTTTAGTGGGTGTGGGTGCATATATCAAAGGTTTTGTTATGATCTACTCGTTCTTTCTCTCTCTATACATATACATACACACACACACACATATATATATGTATATGTATATAACTTTGTGTTTATCACAACTTTTAGTGAAGATTGTGTAATTAATTAAGGTAAGTATATATATGGTAAGATGTAAGTTGGGTATTAATTAATGGGTCCTGTGACTCAGTTTCAGCTTCCATCGAGAAAGAGAAAAACTAGAGAGGAGAGAAAGGGTCTTTGGAATTAGGGTTTGGAGGGTGTGGGGTAACGTGCGCATGAGGTAGTGGGGTGCACTCTTTTGTTTTCTCCAGTGTTTGTGATTTGAATGCAATTTTTGTCATTCATCATGATGTAATTAGAATACATTATTCATAGCCGGACACAAGTTTGACTTGGATCTATACATATATGTATATATATATATGTATGTATATATATATTATATATACATATATGTAGACTTGGGATCATGTGAGACCAATGATTTTTCGTGAGACCCGTAAGACCAATTCTCAACCCTTGGATTAGATTTACAATCGTCAGATCTGAACATTTATAAACGCCACGAGACATCTCACTAATTACGAAATTGCCACCTTGCAACTTTGCAACCATTAGATCATTAATTCATAAATTTGATCAATGAACATAAATTGGTCTTACGGGTCTCACGAAAAACCCTTGGTCTCACGTGAACCCAACCCTATATATGTATGTATATATATATATATATGTATGTATATATATATATGTATGTATATATATATATATATATGCTTCATTGCTTCTTCTTTCAAATGTAAACGAACAATTTGGCAATATATCTTCACGAAACTCTTAAAAGAAATATCACGAAGGACATTATTATGAAGTTATTTAACTACTTGAAAGTCGAATAGTACGTGTGAATGAAATTAGAGGTATTTTGAACGAGTTGTAAAGTTAATAGTGTAATCCACCTACATATAATTATATACCAAAGACCATCAGTGATTTTAATTCTCGTTCCCCACCTCCTAACTAAACCTCCAACCAAGAAGCCGGGGTGTTTGGGATTACTTATTTAAAACAACTCATGTTTTTCTACAAATGCACTTATCAATTTATTATAAGTCAGGAGTGTTTAACTTCTTCACAAACTCTTTATTACCGGTTTGGCATCGGTATAAGTTGTTTATCCAAACACTCAAAAATGCTTATTAAAGGTGGCACATCGAAATAAATTAATAAATTGTTTTTTATAAGCAATCTCAAACACCCCTAAATATTTGTTTTTATTTGGGTTATTCATTAGAATAGTTTTGGTTTCCTTACTCTTTGTTTTCGATGATTAGTCTAATTGGGTTTGTTGATTATTGTTTTTGGCATCTAGTGGTTAGTTGTTGGGTGCTTATATATTAACGTTATAGCATTAATTAACTGTTTTTATATCAATTATTGGATAATCATTTGTTCGATTTATACATGGTGAAAGCTAAGATTTAGTTGGATTTCGTGGTTTTTTAACTTTGTTATGAAATTTAACTAATGTTTGATTTTAGGTTTAGACTAAGGGACCGTTTACTCAGATATATACCCGATAAGCACTTACTGTTAGGAGTCAACACTATAATTTATTTTACCAGGTAAGATTATAGTACATCAAAATGGTATCGTATGCAACAATTTACCCAGTAAGCACTTACCTGGGTAAGAGTCTTCATCATCCCTTACCGGGTAAGACTCTCTATATTTATTATTGCTCTTACCGGGTAAGATTTTTGACCATTGTCATGTTCATCCGGTAAGAAAAATTACCTGATAAGTACTTACCAAATAAACGTTTAGTAAACAACTCTTAAATTGATAAATAATTTGTGGGTTTATATAACCATTAAAATAAGTATTATATATTGTTTTTCTCCAAAACTTTCCTCATGAGAATAAATTCCCTCTTGCTTAAAAGGCTACGCAACAGATGTCGTGGTATTTAGAGGTGCTCATGGGTTGGGTTGATCGGGTTGAAGATATTTAAACAACTCAACCCAATGTTTGCGGTTTGTAAAATCTTAACCCAACCCAACTCAAACCAAAGTGCAAACCCAACCCAACCCGTACGGGTTGGTCGAGTTAGTCGGGTTGGTCGGGTTGATACTTTGGTATATTAAACTATTTCTCTAATCTTGAATATGTTATTTCTCTACTCATAATTTCTTTTTCATCATCAACCATTTGATACAACTTATCCATATTTTTTATGTATATTACATTCAGTTAATTTTCTCAATTTATATATATGTGTGTGTGTGTGTTCACAATTACTGAACATATATATTAATTACTTATATAAATATATGAATCGATTGAAAATATGTATATATGAAAAAGCATACATGATAGTGTAATTGTCTAATGTATATATTAATAGAAATTCAACAGTCATATTAAATCCAAGAAATAAAAGGATATCGGGTTCATCGAATAGGGTTGGGTTCAAATAATAGTAACACAATATCAACTCAATATCTATGATTTGACGATTTTACAACTCGATTAGACATCGGGTTGCTTCGGATTGGGTTATTTCACGTTGGATTGTGTTGGGTTGATCGGATTAGTCGAGTTTTTGAGCACCCCTAATGGTATTAGCAAATAGATGGTTTGCATTACAAAAGCAATAAAACATTTACATAATAAAGGGGTTTATTTTCTTACATGTTAATTGTAGGTGTACCGATTAACTTGTGCATATCTTGATTAATCTTATAAGACGCTCCTAATTTCTAAGCGTCTTAATAGACCTCTTTATAGGACTTAGTTAATAGGACCAAAAAATAAGGTGTCATATCCAAAAACGTTGTAATAAGTTTATATAACGTTTTTTGACGTCGTAATAAGTGTTTTATGACACTTATAAAGCGTCTCATTAGCAACTTTATATGACACTATTTGAAAAGTTGTCCTATAAAAACAAGTGTCCTATAAAAAAATAAGTTTATAGGACATTTTCTCAAAAGTGTCCTATATAAAGTTGCTAATGCGACGTTTTATTTAAAAATGTCCTAAAAAACTTGTTAAAACGTCCAAAAGCGTCAAATAAACTTATTACAACGCCTTTAGATAGGACGTTTTATATTTTGGTTCTATAAATTAAGTCATATAAAGCGGTCTATTGGGACACTTAGGGGGCCGTTTACCCAAATTGCGCTTATCAATAGGAGTCAACACTATAATTATTTTGATGCGTAAGATTTTAGTACATCAAAACATATCGAATGCAACAATATACTAGGTAAGCGCTTACTTGGGTAACAGTCGTCATCCTCACTTACTGGGTAAGACTTTCCATCCTTCTCATCGCTCTTACCCGGTAAGATTCTTGGCCCTTCTCATGTTCACCTGATGAGGAAATTTATGCGTTAAGCACTTATCAAATAAGTGTTTAGTAAACGACCCCTTAGAGATTGGCGGCGTCCTATAAAACCAATTTTGTTGTAGTGGTAGTACATTAAAGTTGGTATTTTATGCAACAATTTACCCGGTAAACACTTACCTGGGTAAGAATCGTTACCTTCACTTACTGAGTAAGACTCTCCATCTTTATCATTGCTCATACTGGGTAAGATTTTGACCCTTGCCATATTCATCTGATAAGAAAAATTACTGTAATCACTTACCGGATAAGTATTTAATAAACTACTACTAAATCTATAAATAAATAAATAAAAAAGCCTTTCTTTGAGTTGGTCCCAACACAACTCGTTTTCCAACTAAACTTCGATTATATTTTTCTTACGTTCACACACACATTTAATTTGTATTTGTTTTATAACATTAGGTGTCACACATATAATATATTATATTTTGTATATCATTTCACTTACACAAAGATACATGTGCTAAAATTTATGGAATTAAAATATGTTTAACTACCGTAGACAACGTTTTAAAAGACGTGTCATTGTGGGAAGGTACGTCTTTTATATTTATTAACTTTCTCTATTAGAAAATGGCCTATCACTGACGGATATTACCGATGTAATTTTTCTGTCAGTAATTTCCAACGGAACAGCGATAGAACAGCGACAAATGACCCATTGAAGATCAATTTCTCCAATAAATTTAAAATCTTTCGATAATTTTATTTATTACGGACGGATTACCGATGAATTTTAAATGGTTTTGTTTTTTTTTTTTGTTTTTTAAAATGATTTTCCATATGGATGCAGACATTTTCTATGCCTTCTGTCATACCTTGCGCAATAGGTATCCGGACCTGATGAAGATGCCTAGAAATGGTCCGAGAAATGAGCACTTGCCATCGATCACGTACAGTTTGACGGTCAGGACTTCACGCCTCTTAGGCAACACCACCCTGACTAGATCCCAGAGGTGCATTGGCAGGATATGATTGATAGGGTACGTGTTATTGAATCTTTGTAACGGGTTGTAATAGTTTTTATATTGATTTTTGTATTATGTCTTAACAAGTGCGGGATACTGACACATTTAGGCATTAATCTATGGCCAATAGGGCCAATTGTGCCACCGAGTAGGGGGGAGATGTCCTCATGCACACTAGAGGATTTATTAGTACGATTCAACATCGGGCACGCTTAGTATTTTATCATATTTTATACTAGTTGCTTATAATTTATGAATTTGTTGTCTATTAACAACCTAAGTTGTTGTCTATTCTAGAGAGATGCAAGGTGTCATGAGCTCACTACTGCTGCGGCTTTTAGAGGATGCACTGCAACAACAGGAAGCTTGTTCTGGGTGACCGGTCCACCCACGGGGACTCCAGTCTACGTTTACCTGAAGGTGGCTGATGTGGAGGTAAGTTCAATTTTCATACTGGATTTAGTTTGTTTTATAGGAGTAGTTAGTTTTATAGATAGATAACTATTAATTAGTTTGGGCTGCCATTATTGGGTAGACGATAGGTGTATATGTTAGAGTTGCATTATATTTGTCAAAAACAAATAAAGGATATGTTCGAATTGCAGTCGTTATGTTGCCAAACTGTCTACAAGTTTGTTAACACGATTTTGTTTTTGTAAACTGTAGGTGACGT